AAAAAAAAGGCCAGGTCTCGCATGCTAATCATTAGGTATCAGGTAATGAAATCGCATTTAAATGCAATTTTAAGGTATCACATGGGGCAAAAGATCTCTTTTAAAGCACCATCTTGCCAATCAGAATAAGAAACTTGCATCCTGTTAGCGTCCTCATTAGCTAAGAAAGTGCGCTGAGATTAAAATGTGCTAATGTATCTTTGTAACTATATAGGATTTGTCCTCATCTCGCTCTCTTATGTGTTATCCATTCATTCCTGGCTCCTAGGTGTGTAAATTATTTCCCCTATGGCTCGCAGCTTTGTTTATGCCCATGACTCTATGTCCTTCGATACGGTGTTTCACTATTAAGAGTAGGAGTTCACATCTTTTCCCACGTACTACGAGTCCAATTTTTCGAATTCGAATTTACTCTTTTCAGTACCTCGGCTTTGGCATGCGATTTACCCACAATATTTTAATAATTTCATGGTACGACCTCATCTCAAAGACTTCCAGTCTATTCATTGTACTGATATTTAATGTCCATGATTCTAGAGCATACAAAAGCAATCATTTCATGAAACGAAGGCGAAGGGATAGGCTAATTTCCTGGCTTGCTAGAATTTGCTGATACTTCGTGTACGATGATCTAGCCATTTAAATCCTTTCTTTATGTCCAGGTTGGTGTCACAGCCTTCGTCCAATATGGATCCAAGGTGTACAAACTTGGAAACGCTTTCTGCATTTTCATTATTTATTAACAGGTAGAGTAACATTTGCATATGGAGTTTCCGCTTGACTTACGATCACAAATTTGGCTGTTAGGTTTAACCCAAAGTTGTTACCTTGATCCTTGATTTACAGCCTGAACCATCGTCACCAGATCCTGCATGTTATCGGCTAGGATAATTGCCTCGTCTGCATATCGGATATTCTTGAAAGAATGTGCTTCTCAGTTAAGGCTATATATCCATAGTTTCAACTGTACATCTCATTGCGGATGACTGACAGTAAGTATTTTAATACGAGATGGAAAAAGGAGTATTTGAATATTGAAAACAAATATTGACGAGTGTATGCGACAAATGTATTCTGTATTGGGTCTTCGTTGCAATAATAAATCAAATGATTTTCTGGAAATAACGGAAAGTAATAGAAATGACTTTTTTGATCTTCTCCAAACTGCTTTATCAGCAGTTCATCTTACTAGACCGAAATAATAGCAGTAGTCACGGCACGTCTTGGTGATGGGAATGTTGGCAATCTAGGAATATTTCCGGAGATGGAAGTCCTTTTTCCCAGAAGACATTGTATGCCGTGCTCGCTTAAACGATCATAGAAATAATTCACATTGCTTTTGTGATCAATTATTCAGAAGACGAGTCATTCGTACACGTGCATAAATATGATGGTGGTCAAAGAGAAAGAAGTAGAGCGAGAGGACGATAGGATATGGTCGTAGTCTGTGACCGCAAATATATGCCGCGATACGCCTTTACAAGCATCCGAGCATACATCAAAGGTGCGGCTCCACGCGTGCCAATCACAATTATTGATACGGTTTAAAATTAAATCCGGGTATACCGACTTGATGGCTGCCTTTTTTCATTTATTAAGCTATGCGCTATGCAGTAATATATATTAATATATGGTTGTTTTATCTTGTTGTTTGGTCATTGCCTGGTTATGGCTAAATCGTCATCTTTTAGATTATTGCTTATGTTTAGCAATCTTTATACCCTACAACCGTACATTAAGTTTGTGCGGACATACGCAAGAGCAACAAAGAGCTGAGATCGGACCACCTTCAATTCTACCAATTTAAGGTTGTCCGTCCGTCTTGGTTTCTTGTGTTCAACCTACAAGCCACAATTTTTGAGATATTTTGATGAAATTTTGTTATATTGCCGTGTTTTGGCGCAAGGATGAACGTTATTGCGAACAATTTGGATCGGATCAATTTTTCGACAACTTCCCATAGGAGGCCTTTTTTTTGAAAATTCTTTATATGAGTAATTGGTGTAGTCGTGGCCTTTACTTATTAAAATATGAGAAAATTATTCCAAAATTTTTGATGAAAAGAAACATATTTAGTTTTATTCATATAAATAAATTCTTTTTTCCATATTTTTATATTTAATATTAATTTCTTTTATTAATTTTATTTTTATTTCTTTCAATTTATATAATTACATATAGTAATTTTCTGCATCAACGATTTCTAATGAATGTAAGGCATATATGTACATATATCTGGATATAGTAACATATCTAAACATTTACGTTTAGTGTATGCGAGCAAACGTATACACTTAAATTATCAAAAATGAATAAAAGCTCTTGCACAACAAAATGACGGCGTTATCAACCCTCTTAATGCCTGCCTCGTTTTCTAACGACGATGAACTGTATACGTATATCTATCTGTCTATTCATCTATCTTTTCATAGACTCGCAAAAGCAAACAACTACACTCTCAGCGGTGTATATATATGTTTTATATATATATATATATATATATATATATATATATGTATGTATTTATATATGTATATATTTACATATATATGTACATTTTTTTTTTTGAAAAGAAAAAAGAAGTGTTTAAACAAGCGAAAAAAGCTTTACTAACCTTGGAGCGAATCTTGGATACCCATCACCTGAGCTTATATACGTATATTGCGAGCAAGTCATTTAATGTCTTGTTAAGCATTAAGCGATGTAGTAAATTGCAGATTTAATGAGTCCCGATAAAAATTTGTGCCAAATTCGAAATGATAGATGTCGTGAAATGTTTGCAACAAGGCAAAATTTTCAATGAATTTTTCTTTTTCCTTTTTCATATATGAGTGAAAGCTCTCAATCGAATTGGGCAAGAGAGGGATCGAGAGGTAAGAAGAAAAAGACTAAAAAGAATGTAGAAGACCTAACGTGAACTAGAAGCGAAAGAAGGATTTAGATTGTGAGTAAAGAAGAAGAGAGGAGAAAATAAACACACGGTGAGAGTAGAAAGACGGAGTAGAGTAAAAACGGGATATGGAGAGAGAGAGAGAGATCGAGAGAGAGGAAGATAGGTAAAAAAGCAGAGATTAGAAAATAGAAATAAGAGGGTGACGGAAGTAGGGGAGAAAAGAAAGTGACAAAACGGAAACGTAGACGAAATGAGAAACTGGGTGATCGTGATGGGGAAAGAATGATGTGGACGGACAATAAACGAGATAAGGGGAGAATGGAGGTAAAGCGGAGCGATTACTTTGTTTCTTTTTGGCCTTGTATTTTGAATTATATCCGTAAAATGTGGGATACATAATAGATGAAAACTGGATTTTTTTTTTCTTAAGCAAGAAAGTCGAGCAGTTCCCAACGATCTTTTATGCACAACTATGTTAAATGGTCCTAAAAAAAATATTTTAGTTTTATTTTTGATGGTTTTTTGCTACAAATTGGATGTTACAGTTGTATAAATTTACGGGAGTGCGAATGTTACCATCAAGTAAGAACGTAGATAACCAATTTTTATTTTTTACGACAAATTTTGTAACCGTAAAAGAACGAACGGGCGGACGGGTAGACGGGTAGGGCAACATGTTTATCTTGACATCATGTTGTTTATAGGTCAGAAATTGTTGTAATTACTTGCAAATATGCGACGGTTGCGACAATGACCGTTGGATGGACAGACACACGAAGTTTTAATGTGTGCACTGTTCTGTAGTGTGTTTAATATATGTACTTTATGCATGGGATTTCACTTGTATTTTTGATCATTACAACCGGAATGAGTAAATTAATATATTTTCCTTGAATGGCAGTTATAACGAAGGATTCATTCACATTTCTAAAGTAAAGTAGAAAAGTTAACAATTTGCAAGCAATGCGGATCGTGAACGCAACAACAATAACAACAGCAACAACATGAACAGCAAAAAAAAAAAAAAAAAATAGCAAACACGTAGCATTTTAGTTAGAGAGTCATTCGGCGGCAATAAAACCAAATATATAGAATATATCATTTCTTTGTATGTGTATACGTATATGCGTATGTATACAAATAAATTTCGATGCCTGTACGTATCCCGTGACTGAATACAGGCAGTTCTTGAGGGTGGTTCTACGAAAAAAGAAAAGCAAAAAGACGTACAAAAAATAACGGCTGGTCTTGGAACGAGCAAAAGCTTTATTATACTACAGGAAAAGTTTACGAGTCCTTAACGTAATAGAAAATAGGAAGAAAAATGAAAAAAAAAAAAGAAAAGAAAAACATGAAACGGTTTTACACTCAAACAGACTATGAAACGTCTAGTCAGTCACTCACTACGGCATGGAAAACAAAGAACGCATTCAAGCTGTTGTTGTTACTGTTGTTATGGGCTGTAGGTGAGCACGAACTCGGAAAAATAAAACGGGGTTGTTGTTTGGTTGATTTGTGTGCATGTAGGTGGTTTTTACTTTGGTACTGTGGCACATGGGCTACGCATGACTTCAATGTGCCACGCTAACAGAGAGAATTTCTGTTTTATTATTTGTTTTTTTTTTTTTTCTTCTTCTTCTTGTTGACATTACTTTCTCTATTGCCGTGAACATATATATATATATAGATCGTATATAACAAATGAAAAATTCTTTAGTATTAAGTATAACAAAACCGGAAAGGAAGGAAATGATGGGAAATACTGGGAAAATCGTTGAAAAGGAAAGAGTTTGTAACGCGTGCCCTAAGTACATAAGTTGTATACAATTTTTATTTTGTTTACCGAAAAATGCTTTTTGTATATAATAGCATCACGTTTTTAATTTAAACTGATTTGTTCCTTGTTTATCATTACTTGCGAGAAGAGAATCTAACTAAACATCTGTCAATAGCGTACTGGCGTATAGTATTATTTGGTCTAAATAATTGTTTTAAGCCTTCTTAAGCTTTCCATCTATGTATTGATTATAAGTTAAAAATCGTTCTTGTGTTTTATGTGCTTTTTTTTTTCTTTTCTTTTCTTTTCTTATCTCTTTTTTACTTACAGTTTTTCACGCTGTGTAACAGATTTCATTATCGACAATGAATTGCCAAAAAAATTAAAATATAAAAAAAAATTTATACAAAAACATAAAAAAGTGACTTAATTGTTAATCGAACAACTTATATCAAACGAACGATTGTGTTCCAGTGCGACTGGCAAAAACTAAAAATAAATAAATAAAAAAATATTTACAAATATAAAAACATATTCGAAAATTATAACTGCATAAATTTATTCCGTTACATAATCTCTTCGTACTATCTTCCCGGACTACATATCCTAATTACCTGGATTCATTAGCAGAAATATATTTAAAGGTAAGTTTAAACTCAATTGTACTTTAAGTGCTTATTGTTGTTTGTCGGTCCTAGAATTTATTCTTTTACTCTAAATGAATTATAATATGTTACTTTATCATTTAGACTTTTCCCACTTGTAAAGGGTTGTACGCTAAGTCAGTCTTGCTTCCCGTTCAGAAATACGCATCCCGCATTTGCCTAGACTTAAGATAGGCCCACACTTTACTATATTGAAAATGATTGTCAATCGATCTAAACCGGTCTGTCCGTCTGCTGTGTGCGCATGTAAATTTGTGTTCAAACTACACGTCGTGATGTGTTTTAAACCAAAGATGAGCGCTTTTGAAAATAATTCGGATCGGTCCTTTCCTCATAAAAGACAAGTCGTTTTAAGAAAAAACTTTCAATATTTGTCGATAAAAGTGGTTAAGTAATAGTATTCCGGCATTTGAAATTGAGGTGAAAATTTTGGATCTACGAATTAAATCAATATCAAAACTGGATAATAATAGTAATTTAAGATAGAAAAATTACCGGTACTAAATTTGGACCATCTCGGCCTATTCTTTGGATCCTATCCTGTATAAGGATTTTCAAGAATATTGACCCTGTACAGGGCAGAAAAGTTTAAATCTTATTTTGTTATGATAAAAATTAAGCCATAATATTAATTTGATATAGAAATTAACTTTACGAAATTTGAACCGCCTGCGCCTATTTTTGGGTCTTACTCTATGTAAGAATTTTCACAAAAATTTTTGCTTTTTACGGCAGAAATGTTTAAGTTTTAATATTTTATGACACAAGTTAATCCATAATAATATTTTGATATAAAAACAAGTAAGAAAGTTATATTCCGCGGTGGCCGAATCTCGCATACTCACTATTATATTTTTCGCATTCTAGTTCCATACGAAAAAAGCAGAGTTTAATCTCTTCTAACTTTGTGGGGGCATGGTTGATATTTACCATTTTTGCACGTAAGGAGTAGCGTGCTTCGCAAAATAAATGTGGAAAATTTCAGCATTCTAACTTGTATAATCCAAATTTTTTCTTAAAAAAAACGGAATTGCGTTCAGTTTTCGCTCCCGGTCCGACCGATTTGGCCCATTTTCAATACCAACCTGCGTGCAGAAACTTCTAATGTTTCATTTTTGCGCCCAAGAAAGTGCCAAAAACACACACTACATAGATGGACGAACATGGTTCAATCAACTCAAAATTTCACGACCATCAAGAATATATGTATGCACTTCATAGGATCTTTGAAACTTTCTCTTGGGTTTTTTGGTAAAAACAAAATGAGTATACTCCCATCTTATAGCGGTAGGTATAACGAGTAAGAAGGTATAGCCGGGCAAGGCATATTTTTCATGTGCGTAGTTCCAGGGAAGCGGGCCCCAAACGCAACCTAGTGTAGTGCAAGTTAAATCCTTACATAGGGCAGCATCCATAGGAAATAGACGTAGATGGTCCAAATTTTGTAGAGTTCTTTCTTGCATGAAATTACTATAACATTATGGGTCAATTTCCATCACCACTTGCTAAACCTTCGATTTGTCTGCTCTACAAAGGGTCAATGTTCATGAAAAACGTAATTACGGTAAGATCCAAAAAATAGGTCGAGCTGGTCCAAATTTGGCAAAGTTTTTTTTTTTATGTTGGGTTACTATTACGATTAAATCTATATAGTTGATCTATGTTAAGTTCTCATCGATATTAGGGACCGAGAAGCAGAATCGTAATGCGTAATTTTTGATGCATTATTGCTAAAACGAGTAAGAATATAATACTAAGCGAAATGATGTAGGGTGTTTAATGGTTGGCCTTGCTTGGCTTTAATGTGATTTAATGTTTTTATTCCTGATTGTTGAATGCAAAGCAATGAAAAAGATTTACTTATTGATGCTAAAAAACCTTGACGGAATGTTTGCGGTAGCATGAAATATGAATAAAGGGGTGGCTTACCTAAATGTATGAAAAACAAGAATCTTACAGATAAGTCAAGGAAAAATCGAATCAACGTGCATCTAAGTCAAGTCAAGGTAAGAGCCTTTAACTTAAAGAGCGCTCGCTCTATCTATTAAAATATTGTTACGAAATTCACTTTTCTTGGATACGGTTCGTATCTCTAGATCGTGGATATACTTTTTAAGAGAAATACATTTGCACGTTTTCACTACAAGACTCTTTTATTTACAATGAATTTGTTTAAGGGTAGGGCTACTTATATTTTAGTTTGGCAAGGCCCTCGACTTTGCAACTCTAATATTCTTTTTCGACTCAAATGTTCTTGTCCGACTGACTTTGCCTTCCGCAAATAGTATATTTGTATACATTTTTACAAGGATATTATTATTACCTAAGTCCATGACTACATTTTTAATCCGTTAACCTGCTTTTCCGCTAATCATTTTCCTCGGCCGGCAGCTGCGTTACGTGCCGCTAACGTGAACTTGGGTGTTCCCTCTCTAGGGAATTTATTTTTTGAGAAAATCAATTAGTTGAAATGAACTGGATAGCTAAACATGGTCTTCTTTGTTACACCGTCTGTCCGTCCATCCGTTACGTTTTCTTGTGTTGAACCTGCAGATCGCAATTCTTGAGATACTTTGATGAAATATGCCATACTGATTTATTTTGGCTCAAGGACAAACCCTATTAAAAATGATTTGGACCAGATCACTTTTTCGACCATTTCCTATATGACACCTTATTTTGAATACTGATTCCATGAATAGCTGTAGCGTTGTGCACGATATCTAATGGTGATTCGTGACCCCATATATAAGATATTTACTTGTTTAAGAGATGCACTTTAGCTACCACCTTCCTGTCTACGCTTTAAACTAACAACCATGTCGGATGTTTGCTTAAAATTGAGAAATTTTATTATTAGCGTCAATTAATTTCCGTTCAGCAAATGCGAAATTCGCGACTAATAAAATAAGCAAAAAAATTGTAATTGCTTCAACGCAAATGTTCAACTCCCACCATCGTAAGTCAATATAACACAATTATGATGTGTTATTTGGTCGGTTGAGACGATTCTAATGCTATCTTAGTGTCTTAGCAGGACCTAAGAAATATTCATATGCGATTTTATTCCAAGATTATCTTAAAGATTATTACGGCCGTATTCGTAGGCAAAAGGTAATCATATTTGTCTTGTAAGAAGTTTAAATTGTTCTCGCGTATATATCTCCTCAGTTTGAGACTAATAAATGCTACAAATTCCAAGCTATATATTCTCTATGGTTGGCGTGGCATTGGGTGCATAATGCTTATTTTTGCGGTTATCAGTTAGGAGTTTTCCTTGTTGTAAATAGCAAATATACCTTTCTACGGTATATGTGAATTCAATCCTAAATAGAGTAGACCGTACTTTGACTACAATTGCTCAGCGATGACAGCTGTAGTGTTCGCTGGATCGGTAAAGGTATAACGTTTACCGATCTGGTACGTACCTTCCAGGCTGCGGCTATTCTCCATCCCTTTCTTCCTCTCTTCTCTTTTCCCTAATCATCGTCATAATATACGTATAAAGGATTGATTGGTCATATGTACACAAAAAAGCAAAAATCAAAAGACGGACAGATAAGAAAGCAACTGGATATGGTTAAATCAATTCAATTTCTTGCGATGATTAATATATACATTATAGAGTGTCTGTAGGGCTGTTCTAAGAATTGCAAAAAAAAAACTAATGCTTATCAACGTTTGGTGGTGTTTATCAGAGTTATTAATTTTAATTCAACTGAATTCTTTGGTGCATGCTGCCATCTGCTAATAGAAAGGCAGCCAGCGCACGCACTATTAGCTCAGCAAAAAGAAATTTAATGTATTTTTTAAGCTTATGTCTACGTTAGAAATTCGATAAATTTTCATTATTTGGTTCGGTTTTTATAATCCAGCGCCGGCGCATATGGGTATATAGGATTTGTCTGCTTTTTTGCGGTATTTAGCAGTAGGCATCGCAATGATGTACATGTACTTAAGCAGGGTTTACCTACTTATCTGCTTATCCGCACAACATTTCTTGTTGGAAAGATCAGTTATGATAGAAAGATTAAATGTTTATTCATTTTCTGTTGATGATTGCAGATCTAGTTCGAGAATTGTCTTCATTCGTTCAATTTAGAACAGGCATTGGTTTCAACGATGGTATCATGTAAAAGTTTAGCACAAAACTGGGAAGATTAGCCCACAAACTCGCTCATAGAAATTAAATAATTTGAAACTTGTATTAGGCAGTAATTAAAATATTTACACAGATATTCCCGAGAATCATTTAAAGTGGTTCTTCTTGGTCAACTATTATCACAAGGTCCAAATGCGAAAACAACCTGTTTTCGTGAGTAAATTTCTTTCTTCCTATTTCATTAGAGCGTATTGACTATTATTGTTTCTCACTTCACTTTCTAAGAGGGATTCTAAAGGGGTTCACAAGTCAGGAGAGTAACCTTGCGCGAATAAACTCGATATCTTCCCGATTATTGATTCATTGCAAGTAGTAGTAAGTTTGCAGCTATCGATATGGTAAGCATTTTTCTGGCTATAGAACGGAAGTTCTTTTGATCGTAAAAGTGCTGTCAAGTTTACACGATATCGACACCTAAAAGCCGGCCGCATTTTTAATTTAAAGTAGATGTTAGTGGTTATATAAAACTCTAAAGAGCAAAGTTTACCAGCTAAGATGAGAAGGGAACGAGTCCATACGCAACTCCGCGAACATATTCGCACTTGATTTTAGGTTGATGTCTGCTATAAGTTGTGCGATTTTCTTTTTCACCGACGTATATGTGGTCGCCTTCATTTCCTTTTTTATTATTAATTATTATTATTATTATTATTCATATTAATTTAGCCAGAGAAATAAATTCTAAGGCTAAAGTATTAAAGCATTAGCATTCTGAGACTATCGGCTTTATTGAAAACTTTACCGCACTTGAGATTTGAATCTACGACCATTGGGCTGTTAATCGAGATTTTTATTGAGATTGCCTTAGTAAAATAAG